GGGGCGTAGCCAGTGGTCCGCTGCATCACCTCCTTCACTTCTTCCCGCAAGTCCTGGAAGACGTTGCTGGCAGCAATTGCTGCTGCTGCTGCAGCAGGCGGTGCTGCAGCAGCAGCAGCAGCAGCAGCGGGATCACGACATGTCGTTGTTGGTCTCTGCTGCTGGGGCGTAGCCAGTGGTCCGCTGCATCACCTCCTCCACTTCCTCCCGCAAGTCCTGGAAGACGTTGCTGGCAGCAATTGCTGCTGCTGCTGCAGCAGGCGGTGCTGCAGCAGCAGCAGCAGCAGCAGCAGCGGGATCACGACATGTCGTTGTTGGTCTCTGCTGCTGGGGCGTAGCCAGTGGTCCGCTGCATCACCTCCTCCACTTCTTCCCGCAAGTCCTGGAAGACGTTGCTGGCAGCAATTGCTGCTGCTGCTGCAGCAGGCGGTGCTGCAGCAGCAGCAGCAGCAGCAGCAGCAGCGGGATCACGACATGTCGTTGTTGGACTCTGCTGCTGGGGCGTAGCCAGTGGTCCGCAGCATCACCTCCTCCACTTCCTCCCGCAAGTCCTGGAAGACGTTGCTGGCAGCAATTGCTGCTGCTGCTGCAGCAGGCGGTGCTGCAGCAGCAGCAGCAGCAGCAGCAGCAGCGGGATCACGACATGTCGTTGTTGGTCTCTGCTGCTGGGGCGTAGCCAGTGGTCCGCTGCATCACCTCCTCCACTTCCTCCCGCAAGTCCTGGAAGACGTTGCTGGCAGCAATTGCTGCTGCTGCTGCAGCAGGCGGTGCTGCAGCAGCAGCAGCAGCAGCAGCAGCGGGATCACGACATGTCGTTGTTGGTCTCTGCTGCTGGGGCGTAGCCAGTGGTCCGCTGCATCACCTCCTCCACTTCTTCCCGCAAGTCCTGGAAGGCGCTGCTGGCAGCAATTGCTGCTGCTGCTGCAGCAGCAGGCGGTGCTGCAGCAGCAGCAGCAGCAGCAGCAGCAGCAGCAGCAGCGGGATCACGACATGTCGTTGTTGGTCTCTGCTGCTGGGGCGCAGCCAGTGGTCCGCTGCATCACCTCCTCCACTTCTTCCCGCAAGTCCTGGAAGACGTTGCTGGCAGCAATTGCTGCTGCTGCTGCAGCAGGCGGTGCTGCAGCAGCAGCAGCAGCAGCAGCAGCAGCAGCGGGATCACGACATGTCGTTGTTGGTCTCTGCTGCTGGGGCGCAGCCAGTGGTCCGCTGCATCACCTCCTCCACTTCTTCCCGCAAGTCCTGGAAGACGTTGCTGGCAGCAATTGCTGCTGCTGCTGCAGCAGGCGGTGCTGCAGCAGCAGCAGCAGCAGCAGCAGCGGGATCACGACATGTCGTTGTTGGTCTCTGCTGCTGGGGCGTAGCCAGTGGTCCGCTGCATCACCTCCTCCACTTCTTCCCGCAAGTCCTGGAAGACGTTGCTGGCAGCAATTGCTGCTGCTGCTGCAGCAGGCGGGGCTGCAGCAGCAGCAGCAGCAGCAGCAGCGGGATCACGACATGTCGTTGTTGGTCTCTGCTGCTGGGGCGTAGCCAGTGGTCCGCTGCATCACCTCCTCCACTTCTTCCCGCAAGTCCTGGAAGACGCTGCTGGCAGCAATTGCTGCTGCTGCTGCAGCAGGCGGTGCTGCAGCAGCAGCAGCAGCAGCAGCAGCAGCAGCAGCAGGATCACGACATGTCGTTGGTGGTCTCTGCTGCTGGGGCGTACCCAGTGGTCCGCTGCATCACCTCCTCCACTTCTTCCCACAAGTCCTGGAAGACGATGCTGGCAGCAATTGCTGCTGCTGCTGCAGCAGGCGGTGCTGCAGCAGCAGCAGCAGCAGCAGCAGCATCACCACATGTCGTTGTTGGTCTCTGCTGCTGCGGCGGATCCAGTGGTCCGCTGCATCACCTCCTCCACTTCCTCCACCAAGTCCTGGAAGACGTTGCTGGCAGCAGTTGCTGCTGCTGCTGCAGCCGCAGCCGCAGCAGCAGCAGCATCAGCAGCAGCAGCAACAGCAGCAGCAGCAGCAGCAAAGTGGGACGCAGAGTCTGCGTGTCGGTTTCTCCAGGGCAGCTTGAAGCTGCAGCTTACTGCGCCCGATGTGACTGACTGGTAAACCCTAAACCCTAAACCCTAAACCCTAAACCCTTGAGTGCAGCTGCATGGCAAAACACGTATAGAAGAATCTAGAGGGACCTCACCGCAGCCACTTCAGGCTCACGGTTTCAGTTTTAGGGATTAGGGTTTAGGGATTAGGGTTTAGGGTTTAGGGTTTAGGGTGTGTGTGCAGGGCCTGGAGGGTTTCGTTCCACAGCAGCAAACCGCCGTCTCTTTCAGCAGCAGCTGCTGCTTTAAGTGCAGCAGCAAAGTCTCTGCAGCCTTTAAAAGACGGGTGAGGGGTCTTAGGGTTTAGGGCTAACGGTTCAGGGTTTAGGGTTTAGGGTTTAGGGTTTGGAGTTCGTTTTCGTCTCAGTTATATACTGGGGATTTGCCGGGCCATCGCAGCGGGCGTGGACGCGGAGGTAGCAGCAGCAGCAGCAGCAGCAGCGAAAAGTGCAGCAGCAGCAGCAGCGGCAGCAGCAAGGACAGCAGCAGCACTGGAGCATGCGTCTGTTGCTGCTGCTGCTCTGACTCGTTTGTCG